ACGCCCAGAGATGGAGTTTCACCATTTTGATCTGGCTGGTTTGAACTCCTAACCTCAGGTGATCCGCCTGCCTCAGCCTCCCAAAGTGCTGGGATTACAGGTGAGAGCCCCCACACACACCCTTTTTTTTTTTTTATACAGGGTCTCACTCTGTTGCCTAGGCTGGTGGAATGCAGTGGTGTAATCAGAGCTCACTGCACCCTAGAACTCCTGGGCTCAGCCTCCAGGAAGAGAATCCTCCAACTTCAGCCTCCCAAGTAGCTAGAACAGGTGCATGCCACCATGCCCAGCTAGTGTGGTTTTTTTGCAGGGTTTTTGTCTTTAATAGAGGTGGGGTCTCACTGTGTTGCCCAGGCTGTCAGACGAGTCTTAAACTCTTGGCTTCACACAGTCCTCCCACCTTGGCCTCCCAAAGCACTAGGATTACAGGCATGAGCCACCATGCCGAGCCTATGTCTTTTGAAAATAGACTGAAATATCACTGCTGCTATTACTAAAACTAAAGCTGTATTGTGGGGTTAAACAAAATGAGCATTCATTGCTTATTTTTCCTCTGGCTTTAGTTAATGCTTGTAATCTAAGTTTTGTTGCTACTTTGATGTATAAATCAGTGGTTTAATCTTATTTGTTTACATCCCTTATTTCTTGTAGATTGCGCAATCTCTTTGTGGCGAGGACTTGATCATTAAAGGAATCAGCGTTCACATATCCAATGCCGAACCTAAGCACAATAGCAATAGACAGTTAGAAAGAAGTGGAAGATTTGGTGGTAATCCAGGTGGCTTTGGGAATCAGGGTGGATTTGGTAATAGTAGAGGGGGTGGAGCTGGTTTGGGAAACAATCAAGGTAGTAATATGGGTGGTGGGATGAACTTTGGCGCATTCAGCATTAATCCAGCCATGATGGCTGCAGCCCAGGCAGCGCTACAGAGCAGTTGGGGTATGATGGGCATGTTAGCCAGCCAGCAGAACCAGTCAGGCCCATCGGGTAATAACCAAAGCCAAGGCAACATGCAGAGGGAGCCAAACCAGGCCTTTGGTTCTGGAAATAACTCTTATAGTGGTTCTAATTCTGGTGCAGCAATTGGTTGGGGATCAGCATCAAATGCAGGGTCGGGTAGTGGTTTTAATGGAGGCTTTGGCTCAAGCATGGATTCTAAGTCTTCTGGCTGGGGAATGTAGACAGTTTGTGGTTGGTTGGTATAGAATGGTGGGAATTCAGATTTTTCTAAACTCACTGGTAAGTATATTGTAAAATACATGTACTAAGAATTTTCAAAATTGGTTTGTTCAGTGTGGAGTATATTCAGCAGTATTTTTGACGTTTTTCTTTTAAAAAAGGAAGAGCTAAAGGAATTTTCTAAGTTTTGTTACATGAAAGGTTGAAATATTGAGTGGTTGAAAGTGAACTGTTGTTTGCCTGATTGGTAAACCAACACACTACAATTGATATCAAAAGGTTTCTCCTGTAATTTTTTTATCCCTGGACTTGTCAAGTGAATTCTTTGCATGTTCAAATGGAAACCATTGATTAGAACTACATTCGTTACTCCTTATTTTAATTTGAACCCCACCATATGGATTTTTTTTCCTTAAGAAAATCTCCTTTTGGGAGATGATGGTGTCACAGTGTTTGGTTCTTTTGTTTTGTTTTTTAACACTTGTCTCCCCTCATATGCAAAAGTACAATATGAAGCCTTCATTTAATCTCTGCAGTTCATCTCATTTCAAATGTTTATGGAAGAAGCACTTCATTGAAAGTAGTGCTGTAAATATTCTGCCATAGGAATACTTCTGTCTACATGCTTTCTCATTCAAGAATTCGTCATCACGCATCACAGGCCGCGTCTTTGACGGTGGGTGTCCCATTTTTATCCGCTACTCTTTATTTCATGGAGTCGTATCAACGCTATGAACGCAAGGCTGTGATATGGAACCAGAAGGCTGTTTGAACTATTGAAACCTTGTGTGGGATTGATGGTGGTGCCGAGGCATGAAAGGCTAGTATGAGCGAGAAAAGGAGAGAGCGCGTGCAGAGACTTGGTGGTGCATAATGGATATTTTTTAACTTGGCGAGATGTGTCTCTCAATCCTGTGGCTTTGGTGAGAGAGTGTGCAGAGAGCAATGATAGCAAATAATGTACGAATGTTTTTTGCATTCAAAGGACATCCACATCTGTTGGAAGACTTTAAGTGAGTTTTTGTTCTTAGATAACCCACATTAGTTGGATGTGTTAAGTGAAACGATACTTGTACTCCCCCTACCCTTTGTCAACTGCTGTGAATGCTGTATGGTGTGTGTTCTCTTCTGTTACTGATATGTAAGTGTGGTAATGTGAACTGAAGCTGATGGGTTGAGAACATGGACTGAGCTTGTGGTGTGCTTTGCAGGAGTACTTGGAAGCAGAGTTCACCAGTGAGCTCAGGTGTCTCAAAGAAGGGTGGAAGTTCTAATGTCTGTTAGCTACCCATAAGAATGCTGTTTGCTGCAGTTCTGTGTCCTGTGCTTGGATGCTTTTTATAAGAGTTGTCAATGTTGGAAATTCTTAAATAAAACTGATTTAAATAATATGTGTCTTTGTTTTGCAGCCCTGAATGCAAAGAATTCATAGCAGTTAATTCCCCTTTTTTGACCCTTTTGAGATGGAACTTTCATAAAGTTTCTTGGCAATAGTTTATTTTGCTTCAAATAAACTTATTTGAAAAGTTGTCTCAAGTCAGATGGATTCATCACCTGTCATGCATTGACACCTGATACCCAGACTTAATTGGTATTTGTTCTTGCATTGGCCAAAGTGAAAAGTTTTTTGTTTTTTGTTTTTCCTTTTGAAATCTAGTTTTTAATAAGTCTGGGTGACCGCACCTAAAATGGTAAGCAGTACCCTCTGGCTTTTTCTTAGTGCCTCTGTGCATTTGGGTGATGTTCTATTTACATGGCCTGTATAAATCTCCTGGGAAATCATGCCGTCTAAAATGATTCTTATTTGGGGGAGTGGGCAAAATGTTGATTATTTTCAAATGCTTTGTAGCAAAGCATATCAATTGAAAAGGGAATATCAGCACCTTCCTAGTTTGGGATTTGAAAAGTGGAATTAATTGCAATAGGGATAAAGTAGAAGAAACCACAAATTATCTTGTGCCTGGAATCCATTAAGAAGCTTGATAGCTTTAAGAATTAGGGTGGGTTGTCTGTCTGGAAGTGAATGGGCTTCGTCCTCCAGGAGGTGGGGGAATGCGGTAATGTTGAATAAAATCACTTACAAAACGTAGACTCTCACAATGCATTGTTAATTATGTAAAAGCAATAACATTGATTCTCTGTTGTACTTTTTATGTAACTGTGAGAGAGCTCTTTTTCTAGTCGGAAGAATGTGACATTTTTTGTGTTGTTTACTTAATGCCCTTACCTAATTCGATTATGATAAATAGGTTTGTCATTTTGCAAGTTACATGTTTTAAACATTTATAAATGAAGTCATCCTTTAGACTTGTAATCACCACATTGTTTCATTATTCGGTTTCCTCTGTAAAGGGATCTTGAGTTGTTTTAATTTTTTTTTTTTTCTGAATCTAAATCTGCATGATTTCCAAACCCTGTACCATCTGAATTTTGCATTTTAGCACTTGCACTATTACTCAGCAGCAGTAACATGGTAACACTTAAAATGGTACTCGGGGACCTCCAAAGACTAAACTGACAAGCCTTCAAGGAGCCCAGGGGTAAGTTAACGTGTCAACGGCATGGTTTGAATCCTTTATTTACACTTGTGTAAATTTTAGTTACTGGTCATAGAAGGCTTTCAATGTTGAGTAGCCTTTTATTAACATGTTTATGGTACTACATGGATAACGGGTATTTATTTTACCCTAAAAAGATTTTGAAGTTTAGAATTAAACTATTTAGCAGAGATTTGTTTTTAAAAATCTATTTGGTCATCTAAATGCATTCATTCTAAAAATTTTTTGAACCAGTTAAATAAAAATTTTTATTGACACCACAGTTTAGTGTCTGGAGTCTTAATGAAAAACATGATTTCTTTTTATATGTGACATGTAGATGCTGGAAAGTTACCTTTAAAAATTGAGCCTCTAAAGAAAAAAATAAAAATTGAGTCTCAAGTAGCTGTACGCACAAGAGAAATTAGGCCAGGATTCACAGTAAACTTACATGGAATGTTAACTTAGCTAGACTGAAAAACTTAAATGCTAGCTATTAAAACCTTTTAGGAAGGAATAGCCAGTTAAAATGAAATGAGATTTTTAAGATTAAATCAGCACTTAAGTTTTGTCCTTCATAGGAAAAAGTAGGACATTAACTACGTAATTCAAGAGAGAATGTGTAAGAGTAAGAAAGATTTTGTTGTTACGAGCAAAGTAGCTCCCAACTGTGTATTAGGGTTCTGTACTTAACTGCTGTGTGATCTGTGCTCTTGTTCGGCATCACTGTGCCCAGATATCTTGTGTTCATTGTAAAGAGGAAAAACAAATGATCACAGTTTGTGACATCACTAATTTATAACGCCATTTTTCATCTTGTGGAAATGGCCGCATTTTGATTCAATCTTCTGAATTTAAACATTGTTCAGGTCATTTCCAATTGCTAGGAATATCTTTCCAGCTAAATTAAATTTGTAACATTGGAATTGCCAGGTCAAAGCTGATGATGCCTTTTCAGGGCTTTTGAAATGTATTGCCAGTCTATGGCCATACCACCCTCCCTGAACACACCTGGTCCTGCTTAAAATGGATTGCCAAATTGTCCTTTGGGAAGTTGGTGTCTTTAACAGTGTGAAATAGTACTACTATTCACATTCCTTTCGTCTGACAATTTGATAATTGAATAATTGTATCCCATGATTTTGTGGTATTGGTTTTTAACATGGAAATTTCAATCAATACCTGGGCTAAAGTATCAGTGTTTCCAACCTGCCTGCCCAAAAAAGGAATTCAAGGTTATTCCTGAATCAGTACTGCTACAACATATAAAGCACTTACAGAGATCAATAAGAACAAGTTTAAAAACAGAGCATGGCCAGGCAGTTTACAGAAATGCCAACAGCTAGTATGAGAAGATACTGGCCTTTTAAAGTAATTAAATGTAATTTGAGCAGTGACATTACATTGGATTGACAAAGGTGAATATCACTCTTGTGGCTTATGTCCCCTTGAGTCAGATGGGTAAGGTTGGAATTAAACCGTGGAGTGGAGAAATGACAGCAGTCTCACCTGGAGTCTGTTCTTTGGGTGGAGCAACAGCTGCCATTTTCACAGTAACGATGAATGCTTCTCGGGTTATGTGGCTGCCAGGGTCTTCACAGGCATTTCTAACAATGAGGAATCCTTGACTGACTACAGACATGCAAGTTAAAAATTATTTATTATGTTCTTGATCCAGGGAACGTAGTTAATGACTTTTGTGTAGACTCCATACTGACCTGCCTCACCACAATTCATGGAGCCCCAGGACACTATTCCTCCCACAAACCACCTCTGCGTTTCATTATCTAGAAAGACCAGTGCCCCTCCGCTGTCACCTCTGCAGCTATCCTTGCCCCCACTTTCTAAGCCAGCACAGAGCATGTTACCAGTTACACTTGCCCCTGGATAGGGCAGCTTTGCATATGCAGCACTACATTTTTGATGGTCAACAATTGGTATATCAACATACATGAGATTTCTAGCAAGAAAACCCCTTTGGGTTAATCCCCATCCAGATGCAGTTCCAATGTCATTTGTCCTCATAAAAGATTCATCTTTTGGCAGACAAATAGGTGTGATGTTGCTATTGATTACAACTTTGTTACTCAGTTTAATCAGTGCTATGTCATTGTCAAAGCCAGCATCATGAGTGTAACCTTCGTGTATAAAAACAGCTTCAGCCCAGGCTTGTGTATAATGAGGTGATAGTCTCTTCAGGGCACCCAGTCGAATGTCCAGGGAGTTTGCGTCATGTTTTTGCTCATAGACGACATGAGCAGCTGTTAAGACCCAGTTGTCATATAAAAGTGCACCTGCTGCTGTGGTTCCACCTAATACCAGGACTTGCCAAGGAAAATCACCAGGTTTTGCCTTTTGCCCTCCATATATACGCCCTCCTGTCGTCCGGGCTGATAGTCCACAAACTGAGGAGAGAAGCAGACCAGTAGACAGCCTTTATAAAAATGTCATGTTTTTCTTAAATTACGGCCACTTTGAAGTATATATTCGATGTCAACCAAGAATTACATGAATTGGTGGGTGACCACCTATAACAGGCAAGTGAGGATATTTTAAAACATCACAATTCAAAGACCTGATAAAACCTTTTGGTATTTTTTAGCTCCTCAGAAAAATGAGATTAGTGAAAACTTTTAGAAATTATTTTGTTTTGCTAAAATAATTTGGTCTATAAGATTTGGCGATTTGGCAAATTCACCAGGTGCAGTGTCGCGCCTGTAATCCCAGCATTTTGGGAGGCTGAGTCGGCCAGATCACCTGAGGTCAGGAGTTCAAGACCAGCCTGGCCAACATGCTGAAACCCTGTCTCATATATACAAAAATTAGCTGGGCGTGGTGGCAGGTGCCTATAATCCTAGCTACTTGGGAGTCTGAGACAGGAGAATTGCTTGAACCTGGGGGCAGAGGTTGTAGTGAGCCAAGTTGCACCACTGCACTCCAGCCTGGGCTACAAGAGCAAAACTCCGTCTCAAAGAGATTAGGAAAACTAACAGGGCAAGCAGGAATGGTCTGATCAGATGGACTGGATGATGTGCATAGGAATTAGGACGTAACCTTTCGTTGTTTCTGTTTTCCTACTTGTGAAGTGGGTATGTAATCCTAAAAAAGCAGGAACTTAAAGTCAGTATCAGGATTTGCAAAATTACTTTTACGTTTGAACATGCAAATGCTTTAGAAATTTAAAACATTGCAGTTGTGGCTAGGACCCTGCAGGTTCCAAAATTACTGTTTTTGATCTAGTTGATTCTTCCTAACTAAATTTTATTGCATCTTTATTGCAAACTAAATATTCCCATTAATGTAGCATATATGTTTCCTGTTGTGGTAGTGGACTTGCATTAAAAACTACAGACGTCGTGTTAGCCAAATACCAGTTTAAAAATAATTTGAACCAAATAACACAAGGGTAATGAATATATTATTACTTTCCTGATTTTTTTAATCATTCTACTCAACTGTTATCTTTGGAGGCAATTCTGGTTAAAAAAAAATACTATTAAAAGGCAAATTGCATTAATGTTTAAAAACTAGATGTCATTGAAAACAGTTGCTTGGGGAAATAATAAAGTTATTAGCTTTGGGTTTTAATAGCGTTTTAACATAGGACAGTAACTCAACAGAAGAGTTCATGTTTATAAATGTATAAATTGTTCAAGATAATTTTTTTTTGCTTTTGTTTTTTGAGACGGAGTTTTGCTCGTTACCCAGGCTGGAGTGCAATGGCACCATCTCAGCTCACCACAACCTCTGCCTCCCAGGTTCAGGTGATTCTCCTGCCTCAGCCTCCCAAGTAGCTGGGACTACAGGCCTGCACCACCACGCCCAGCTAATTTTGTATTTTTAGTAGAGACAGGATTTCTCCACGTTGGTCAGGCTGGTCTTGAACTACCGACCTCAGGTGATCTGCCCACCTCAGTTTCCCAAAGTGCTGGGATTACAGGGGTGAACCAGGCCCGGCCTAAAAAATCATTTACTTTTTTTATGCTTGCCTAGTTATAAGGTCAAAAATAATCAAGTGACTGATGCAGTCAGCACCTGACAACCTCTCTCTATGGAAAGTGGGTAATGAGAACATATTATTTGGAAATAATAACTTAGCCTAAGAGCCAAGTGCTGAAGTTCCATTTCTGCCTACCACAGCTAAAGCTCTGCTTACTCTCTCCTGCCCAGCTCTACTTTCCATCAATTACCAATCTCCTGTATAAATGTATCCATTACCAGGCTCACAGACTGGGAGGGATTTTTCTCCTTTGGAGCTCGTCCAGAATCCATCAGCCTCACACACATATTTACCTGTAAATCATTGGAAAAGCAAAAATGTTTAACTGCATGTATAAGATGGTTGTCATTTGCTTGAATACCCCCTTGAAAAATGTTGATTCTTGAGCATCCGTGGGAAATAGAGGTGTCTGAAGAACCATTTTACATGATTTCATAAATAGGAGGTCTCTGCATTACCATGTTTGCTTGCAAAGTAGAAACCTTTTAGATGTGTAACTTGAATATGTATCAAGATCTCAAGTGCTTAATGATAAGGTTTTGACTTGTTAAATTAAACCATTTGGAATATATTGTGTGTTTGTAGTAGTCATTTACTAGATAAGATCTGTTTTCAGATTTTTGCAAATTGACATTAAAGTCACTTCAGCTATGATATTTCACTTAGTGGATGGGAGAAGTGGCTTTTAATCTTTTGTCTAGCCTTAGCCAAAAATGTTGGTTTAAGTTTATTTTCTGACCATGGGGGCTCAAGTTCCAAGTATTGCCCACCCGCAGCTTTGATAAATTTGCATACCATCATTGAGTTTCATTGTGTAGAAGGTCTCTTCACAGCTGTACTGAATCACAGCTTTGTAGGTGGTCACTTCAGGACCTGTGGTGTACTCCACTCGGCCACTGGGGAGATCATCAGGAGGGCCACAGTCAACAACTAACAAAGAAGCAGGAGAGGGAGGAGTCCGTTGGTCACTTCAATGCTGACTTTGCAGAGGTCTGGGGAAGCACCTCTGGAAAGCCAAGCCAGGCAAATCCCTTGAGCTCAGGAATTTGAGACCAGGCTGGGCAACATGACAAGACCCCCTATCTAGAAAAGATTAAAAGGCCGGACATCCAGTGTGGCTGAAAACTGTAATCCCAGCATGTAAGGAGGCCGAGGTGGGCAGTTCACAAGACCAGGAGATCAAGACCATCCTGGCTAATATGGTGAAACCCCATCTCTACCAAAAATACAAAACAAAAATTAGACAGGCGTGGTGGCATGCGCCTGGGGTGGCTGAGGCAGGAGAATTGCTTGAACTCGGGAGGTGGAGGTTGCAGTGAGCTGAGATCGCACCATTGCAGTCCAGCCTGGGTGACAGCAAGACTATCTCCAAAAAAAAAGCCAGTCATGGTGGCACATGCCTGTCATTCCCAGTTACCTGGGAAGCTGAGGTGGGAGGTAACTAAATGGCTGAACTGAGGGGGGGGGAGTCCATGTAGAGGAAGTGGTGTCCTGCCTTTCCTAGGCAAAGGGAACTGGAAACCAGCCGGAGCTCCTTAGCACCCTCAAGTCAATTATAAAAAGGTCTGCAGCAGAACAGCATGTCACATGGCACAGGCTGATTCCATGTAAAAGGCTGAAAAGGACGTGACAGGTTGGAGGAGCCAGGCTTGGTGGCTCAGACCTGTAACCCCAGTATTTTGGGAGTCTAAGGTGGGAGATCACTTGAGACCAGAAGTTCAAAGACCAGCCTGGGCAACAGCAGAACGCTGTCTCTACAGAAAAATAGGCTGGGCTTGGTGACGTGGTTTCAGCTACTTAGGAGGCTGAAACAGTGGGATCGCTTGAGCCCGGGAGGCTGAGGCTGCAGTGAGCCATGATCACACCACTGCACTGCAGCCTGGGTGATAGAGAACCTGTCTCAATAAAAAATTCAGAGGCTGGGCACGGTGGCTTACGCCTGTAATCCCAGCACTTTGGGAGGCCAAGGTGGACAGATCACCTGAGGTTGGGAGTTCCAGACCAGCCAGACCAACATGGGGAAACTCCATCTACTAAAAATACAAAATTAGCTGGGTGTGGTGGTGCATGCCTATAATCTCAGCTACTTGGGAGGCTGAGGCAGGAGAATCGCTTGAACCCAAGAGTTGGAGGTTGAAGTGAGCTTAGATCGCAACCATTGCACTCCAGCCTGGGCAACAAGAGTGAAACTCCGTCTCCAAAAAAAAAAAAAAAAAAAAAAAAAATCATCTTCTTATTCTAATCCCTTTAATAAAGTTCTTCAAGAGACCTGGAAGTCTTTCCAAAACTCACTGGGCAAGGTGGCTCACACCTGTAATCTCAGCACTTGGCAAGGCCAAGGCATTCTAGCAACATAGTGAGACCCCATCTCTACCAAAAATCTTAAAGGAGCTGGGTATGTGGCACGTGCCTGTAGTCCAAGCTACTCAGGAGGCTGAAACAGGAGGATCGCTTGAGCCCAGGAGTTTGAGACTGTCACGTGAGCTATGATTGACCCACTGCACTCCAGCCTGGGTGACAGGGCAAGACCCCCCCCTCAGTAAAAAAATATATTATTCTTAGTTCACAAAATGGTAATGTACATCAATTATCCCAGTTTGGGGTGTGTGTATTACTACATAAAATTACCCCCCTTTCTATATACAGTAGTGTATACTTGTTCACATGTGTGAATTGTGTGTAATTGGAGTCTCTCCAATTACACACCAAAAGAGTAACCATTAGGCAAGGCACAGTGGCTCATGCCTGTAATCTCAGCACTTTGGAAGGCCAAGGTGGCCGGATCACTTGAGAAGTTCAAGAAAAGTCTGGGCAACATGATGAAACCCCATCTCTACTAAAAATTCAAAAATTAGTCCGGGCGCGGTGGCTCAAGCCTGTAATCCCAGCACTTTGGGAGGCCGAAGCAGGTGGATCACGAGGTTAAGAGATCGAGACCATCCTGGTCAACATGGTGAAACCTCGTCTCTACTAAAAATACAAAAAATTAGCTGGGCATGGTGGCGCACGCCTGTAATCCCAGCTACTCAGGAGGCTGAGGCAGGAGAATTGCTTGAACCCAGGAGGCGGAGGTTGCGGTGAGCCGAGATTACGCCATTACACTCCAGCCTGGGTAACAAGAGCCAAACTCCGTCTTAAAAAAAAAAAAAATCAAAAATTAGGTGGACATGGTGGCGGGCACCCATCCCAGCTATTTGGGAGGCTGAAGCAAGAGAATCACTTGAACCCAGGAGGCGGAGGTTTCCATGAGCCCAGATCGTGCCACTGCACTCCAGCCTGGGTGACAGAGTGAGACCCTGTCAAAAAAAAAAGTGGCCAGGCACGGTAGCTCATGCCTGTAATCCCACCACTTTGGGGAGGCCAAGGTGGGTGGATCAGTTGAGGTCAGGAGTTTGAGACCAGCCTGGCCAACATGGTGAAACCTCATGTCTACTAAATAAACAAAAATTAGTCAGGCTTGGTGGCAGACACCTGTAATCCCAATACTCGAGAGGCTGAGGCAGGATAACTGCTTGAACCCATGAGGCGGAGGTTGCAGTGAACCAAGATGGGGCCGCTCCACTCTAGCCTGGGCAACAGAGCAAGACTCCATTTCAAAAAATAAATATAAAAAAGTAATGATTATATTCGCATATGGTGGTATTATGGGTATTAAGATGTTCATAATTTTCTGTATTTCCCATTTTCTACCATGAGTATTGTTATTTTTATACTTAGAAAAATATTGTCTGGCCGGACGCAGTGGCTCACACCTGTAATCCTAGCATTTTGGGAGGCTGAGGCGGGCAGATTGCCTGAGCTCAGGAGTTCAAGACCAGCCTGGGCAACATGATGAAACCCCATCTCTACTAAAATACAAAAAATTAGCCAGGTGTGGCAGCATGTGCCTATAGCCCCAGCTACTCAGGAGACTGAGGCAGGAGAATTGCTCGAACCTGGGAGGCAGAGGTTGCAGTGAGCCGAGATTGCACCACTGCACTCCAGTCTGGATGACAGAACAAGACTCTGTCCCCAAAAAGAAAAAGAAAATTGTCAAAGAACACGCTTTGGGAGTCTGAGGCGGGTGGATCACTTGAGGTCAGGAGTTTGAGACCAGCCTGGCCAACATGGTGAAAGCCCATCTGTACCAAAAAAGTACAACAATTAGCCGGGCATGGTGGCATGTGCCTGTAGTCCTTCCCAGCTCCTGGGGAGGCTGACATGGAGAATCATTTGAACCTGGGAGGCAGAGGTTGCAGTGAGCACAGATTGCACCACTGTACTCCAGCCTGGGCAGCAGGTGAGACCCTGTCTCAAAAAAGAAAAAAATATTAAAGAACATACTTTCTGGCTGGACGCAATGGCTCACGCCTATAATCCCAGCACTTTGGGAGTCCAAGGCGGGTGGATCACGAAGTCAAGAGATCGAGATCATCCTGGTCAACGTGGTGAAACCCCATCTCTACTAAAAATACAAAAATTGACTGGGCGTGGTGGCATGCACCTGTAGTCCCAGCTGCTCGGGAGACTGAGGCAGAAGAATTGCTTGAACCCAGGAGTCGGAGGTTGCAATGAGACGAGATCGTGCCATTGCACTCCAGCCTGGGTAACAAAAGGGAAACTGTCTCAAAAAATAAATAAATAAATAAAAATAAGTGGCCGGGCGCTGTGGCTCACGCCTGTAATCCCAGCACTTTGGGAGGCCGAGGCGGGTGGATCACGAGGTCAACAGATCGAGACCATCCTGGTCAACATGGTGAAACCCTGTCTCTACTAAAAATACAAAAAATTAGCTGGGCATGGTGGCCTGTGCCTGTAATCCCAGCTACTCAGGAGGCTGAGGCAGGAAAATTGCCTGAACCCAGGAGGCGGAGGTTGCGGTGAGCCGAGATCGCGCCATTGCACTCCAGCCTGGGTAACAAGAGCGAAACTCCGTCTCAAAAAAAAAAAAAACTTTCCTAAAGCACATACCTTCCCTAGGTTCTGTGTTAACCTCTAAGAATGCAGTGAGAGACGGGAGAAGAGATGCAAATTTGAAATTCAAGCTCTGAGAAATGGATCATTAAAGAAAAAAGCCAAGGGTCTGGGCACAGTGGCTCACACCTGTAATCCCAGCACTTTGGGACCCGGAGGTAGGCAGATCACTTTAGGTCAGGAGTTTGAGACCAGCCTGGCAACATGGCAAAACTGTATCTCTACAAATAATACAAAAATTAGCCAGGCATGGTGGTACTCGCTTGTAGTTCCAACTACTCAAAAGGCTGAGTCAGGAGGATTGCTTAAGCCTGGGAGGCAGAAGTTGCGGTGAGCCAAAATCACGCCATTGCACTCTAGTCTGGGCAACAGAGCAAGACTCTGTCTCAACAAAACAAAAGAGAAAGAAAACAGAAAACCAGAGAAGCAATAGAAGCAGCAAAATAGCAGCAGAGGGAGTTACGGGCGGTTATGGGAGTTGTAGTCACCACATGACCTACTGCTGCATGCCGGCATTGGCTGGTCCCAAGATCCATCTTTCTGACAAACTGCAGTAAATGATTTCAGGGGCAAGTGACCCTAAAGAAGAATTCGGACAATATCAATTTCCGTGTCTATATCATAAAATCACTCCCCAAAGCTGTACTTCCACAGTAGTTCCTATTCTAGTGTTTTACGAGGTGCTTCGGAGGGAGATGGCTGTGCACATGACTAATATATCTGCTCGGGCTGGGGGCTGAGGGACGCCTGGAGCATGGATACCCCACCCCACTGCCTCAGTGCACATCTGTGATGCTAGGTTATGTATTTCATCATTCAACAGGTATTGGCATTTTATGAATCAGATGTAACCTTTGCAGCAATTTATAATTTTTTTTTTTTTTTTTTTTTTTTTGCTTTTCACTGTAATACAGAAACAGATCTCAGCTGGGTGCAGTGGCTCATGCCTGTAATCCCAGCACTTTGGGAAGCCAAGCCGGGCAAATCATGAGGTCAGGAGTTTGAAACCAGCTTGGCCAACAAGGTGAAACCCTGTCTCCACTAAAAATACAAAAATGTTGCCAGGCGTGGTGGCATGTGCTTGTATTCCCAGCTACTTAGGAGGTTGAGGCAGGAGAATTGCTTGAACCTGTAGAGGGGGAGGTTGCAATGAGCTGAGATCGCACTAACTGCACTCCAGCCTGGGTGACAAAGTGAGACAAATAATAATAATATCAGACCTGTCTCTAATAATAATAATAATAATAATATCAGATCTCAACATTTCTGCATCTGATGTTCCACCATTTCTTTCTTTCTTTTTTTTTTTTCTCTTTTTGAAACAGAGTCCCACTCTGTTGCCCAGCCTGGAGTGCAGTGGCACAATCTCAGCTCACTGCAACCTCTGCCTCCTGAGTTCAAGTGATTCTCCTGCCTCAGCCTCCTGAGTAGCTGGGATTACAGGTGCCTGCCACCACGCCCCGCTAATTTTTGTATTTTTAGTACAGACAGGATTTCACTATATTGGCCAGGCTGGTCTTGAACTCCTGACCTTGTGATCCACCCGGCTCAGCCTCCCAAAGTGCTGGGATTACAGGAGTGAGCCACCGCTCCCGGCCCACCATTTCTTTATATAAAGTGCCAGAGGGGTCAGGCACATTCGTTTACACCTATAATCTCAGCAAATTGGGAGGCCAAGATGGGAGGATTGCTTGAGCTCAGAAGTTTGAGACCAGCCTGGGCAATACAGTGAGACCCTCACTTCTACAAAAAAGACAAAAATTAGCCAGTGGTGCTTGCCTGTAGACCCAGCTAGTTGGGAAGCCAGAGTCAGGATTGCTTGAGCCTGAGAGGTCAAGGCTGTGGTGAGCCATGATTGTGTCACTGCACTCCAGCCTGGGTGACAAAATGAGACCCTGCCTCAAAAAAAAAAAAAAGTGCCAGAGGACTGTGGTGACAAGTCTCAGAAAGCGAGTGTGACAAGACTTGAAGCAAGTGTGTCTGTGTATCTGTCTAGCCTGTGGCCATTAGCTGTAGGAGGGCTACTAAAAATTCTTTTTTTTTTTTTTGAGACAGTCTTGCTCTGTCACAGTGGCATGATCATGGCTCGTTGCAACCTTTGCCTCCTGGGTTCAAGAGTTTCCCCTGCCTCAGCCTCCTGAGTAGCTGGGACTACAGGCACGTGCCACCACACCCGGCTAAATTTTTAGATTTTAATTGAGACAGGATTTCACCATGGGCAGGACGGTCTTGATTTCCTGACCCTGAGATCTGCCTGCCTCAGCCTCCCAAAGTGCACAGGTGCAAGCAATCTCTTTTTTAAAATTATTATTTATTTTTTTAAAGACGGGGGTTTCACCTTGTTGGTCAGGCTGGTCTTGAACTCCCGACCTCAGGTGATCTGCCTGCCTTGGCCTCCAAAGTGCTTGGATTACAGGCCTGAGCCATCACACCTGGCCTCTTTTTTTCTTTGAGACGGTGTCTAGCTCTGTCGCCAGGCTGGATTGCAGTGGCGCAATCTCAGCTCACTGCAACTTCCGCCTCCTGGGTTCAAGCGATTCTTCCACCTCAGCCTCCCAAGTACCTGGGACCACAGGTGCATGCCACCACGCCTGGCTAATATTTGTATTTTTAGTAGAGACGGGGTTTCACCATGGCCAGGATGGTCTTGATCTCTTGACCTCGTGATCCGCCCACCTCAGCCTCCCAAAGTGCTGGGATTACAGGCGTGAGCCACCGCACTCGGCCATGTGAGCAATCTCACCCAGCAAGAATTCTTTTGTAGCTGGACATAGTGGCTCATGCCTGTAATTCCAGCATTTTGGGAGGCCGAGGCAGGTGAATTACCTGAGGTCAGGAGTTTGAGACCAGCCTGATCAATATGATGAAACCCCATCACTACTAAAAATACAAAAATTAGCCTGGCATAGTGGCACATGCCTGTAATCCCAGCTAATTGGGAGGCTAAAACAGGCAAATTACTTGAACCCAGGAGGCAGAGGTTGCAGTGAGCCAAGATCACGCCATTGCACTTCAGCCTGGGTCACAAGAGCAAAACTCCATCTCAAAAAAATATTTCTTTCGTGAGCTTCGTCTATGTGCTATCCATCAGCTTTCACTGCCAATGTCATTCACAGAAAGACATTTTTCAACTTGCTGAGATAATGTTTTTTAATATCAAACATTAAAATAAAAGAAGATGGGCCAGGTGGGGTGGCTCATGCCTGTAATCCCAGCACTTCGGGAGGCTGAGGTGGGTGGATCACAAGGTCAGGAGTTCGAGACCAGCCTGACCAACTTGGTGAGACCCTGTCCCTACTAAAAATAAAAATTAGCCAGGCGTAGTGGCACATGCCTGTAAACCCAGCTCAGGAGGCTGAGGCAGGAGAATCTCTTGAACATGGGAGGCGGAGGTTGAAGTGAGCCGAGATCACACCATTACACTCCAGCCTGGGCAACAGAGGGAGACTCCGTTTAAAAAATAATAATGATAGCCGGGCGAGGTGGCTCAAGCCTGTAATCACAGCACTATGGGAGGCCGAGGCGGGTGGATCACGAGGTCAAGAGATCGAGACCATCCTGGTCAACATGGTGAAACCCCGTCTCTACTGAAAATACAAAAAAAAAATTAGCTGGGCATGGTGGCGCGTGCCTGTAATCCCAGCTACTCAGGAGGCTGAGGCAGGAGAATTGCCTGAACCCAGGAGGCGGAGGTTGCGGTGAGCCGAGATTGCGCCATTGCCCTCCAGCCTGGGTAACAAGAGCGAGACTCCGTCTCAAAAAAAAAAAAAAAAATAATAATAATAATGATAATTAATAAATAAAAGAAGATGGCTTTGGGAGAAACTGTGCTTCAAAGGATTTCAGGACTTCTTATGTTAAGTCAGAAACTAAAGATGTTTGTGGTCCAAGGAGCTGTGGAAAAGAGCCCAAGAAGTTTGCAAGGTGGGAAAAGTGTCTCGCTTTTTTTTTTTTGACTCTCCACAGGACTGTGGATTGCATAGCTAGCTATCATTTCAATGTTATTACTTTTTACCACTGGGATTCAGTGACAATTTTGAAGAACATAAAGAGGACGTGTTAATTTCTTATCTGTGCCCCTAAAGCAACATACTAAGCATTTTTAAAAATTATACTCCTCCCTTAACAGTGATCACTATTTATAACTTTGCACAACACACTCTTTCCCAGGGCTGTCTACATTTTTGTGGGCCCAGGAGTTGTTTCATGGAAAGGTCATTTGACCGGGGCGGACTTTAATGTGATACGAGACAGGGCATGTGGAGCAGGATAGCAAACTCATCTTTCTGTCGTTCCAGCCACTTCACAAAGAGCTGCTGTCCTATGTGACCAACAGAAAAGTTGCTCATTTTATTTTATTTTATGTATTTTTTTTGAGACAGGGTCTTGCTGTGTCGCCCAGGCTAGAGTGCAGTGGTGTGATTCCCAATCACTGCAACCTCCGCCTCCCAGGTTCAAGCAATTCTCCTGCCTCATCCCCCAGAGTAGCTGGGATTTACAGGTGCCTGCCACCACGCCCCGCTAATTTTTGTATTTTCAGTAGAGACAGGGTTTCACTACATTGGCCAGGCTGGTCTTGAACTCCTGGCCTCAAGTGATCTGCCCACCTTGGCCTCCCAAAGTGCTGGGAATACAGGTGTGAACCACCATGCCTGGCCAAAATTGCCCATTTTAATCACCAGCTTTCCAAAGTAGCTTTAAAATGAAGGGCTCGGGCTGGGTGCAGAGGCTCACACCTGTAATCCCAGCACTTTGGGAGGCCGAGGTGGGTGCATCATGAGGTCAAGAGATCAAGACCATCCTGGTCAACATGGTGAAACCCTGTCTCTACTAAAAATACAAAAAATTAGCTGGGCATGGTAGCGTGTGCCTGTAGTCCCAGCTACTCGGGAGGCTGAGGGAGGAGAATTGTCTGAACCCAGGAGGCAGAGGTTACGGTGAGCCGAGATCGGGCCACGGCACTCCAGCCTGGGTAACAAGAGTGAAACTCCGTCTCAAAAATAAAAACAAAAAAAGGGCTCACTTACATAAATTTAATGTTACATATAAAGAAAGAAACAAAAGGCCGGGCGGGCGAGGTGGCTCATGCTTGTAATTCCAGCACTTTGGGAGGCCGAGGTGGGTGGATCCCCTGAGGTCAAGAGTTCGAGATCAGCCTGATCAACATGGAGAAACCTTGTCTCTACTAAAAATACAAAAAAATTAGCTGAGTGTGGTGGCACATGCCTGCAATCAGCTACACAGGAGGCTGAGGCAGAAGAATCGCTTGAACCCAGGAGGTGGAGGTTGCGGTGAGCCAAGATCGCGCCATTGCACTCTAGCCTGGGCAACGAGAGCAAAACTCCGTCTTAAAAAATAATAATAATAATAATAAAGGCAGGATTCCCAGAATAGAATTTGCCCTAGCCATCCTTTTTGCCCTCAGCAAACTTATTTCTTGGCTTTCTATTATTTAAAGATAGACAAAAGAAACCATCGTGCTGACAAACTATTATTTTCCCACTTTCCTTTCACATATCTTCAGATGGAAATACGTTTACATTTCAAAGCGATCGTGATTGATCGTGGTGTACTTAGTCTTGTTTTAACTCACTTGCAGAAGCTCATAGCCAGTCTCGCAGAAGATGGAGAAGCTGTCTTTCAGGATGTATTTGGCTTGCACAGGTGAAATGTGGCCATTAGGTGGCGCCATCGGATAAGGGCAAGGCTGAGCTGCGCAGAGGAAACCAGGCTTAATGGTTTTGATGTGGTCTATAGTAGTCAAATCTGAATCGAGCTATCTGAAGTTCTTAGTTTATAAATAAAATATTCAATGTGTAAAGAGAGCTTGCCATACATGGGTAAGGTTCTTAAGATTTAAAACCAGGCTGGGCGCGGTGGCTTACGCCTGTAATTCCAGCATTTAGGGAGGCCGAGGCAGGTGACTCACTCGAGGTCAGGAGTTTGAAACCAACCTGTCCAACACGGAGAAACCTCGTCTCTACTAAAAATACAAAATTAACCGGGCATGGTGGTGCACGCCTGTAATCCCAGCTACTCGGGAGGCTGAGCCAGGAGAATCGCTTGAACCTGGGAGGCAGGTTGTAGTGAGCCAAGATTGTGCCACTGCACTCCAGCCTGGGCAACAAGAGCTAAACTCCATCTCAAAAAAAAAAAAAAAAAGATTTAAAACCAAAGGCAAGATTAAACTCTCAGGTGCTTTTGAAAACGAAGATTTGTTGTTTTCCTTGGGACTGAGCCAAAGGTATGTGAGAAAGCCAGGTATGTGGGAAGATGGTGCAGTCCCCATAAATGCAGCCTCCTCTGTGTCGAGAACTTCAGAGCCACAGCTCGAAACCAAGAGAGAGTGTAACTTTGAGGAAAAGTGCTCGGGGGAGCCTTTGAGACCTGCATTGGACTGGAGCTGGGTTTAAATTACAGCTCCCTGTTTCCCAGTGGCTATGTGTAACCTCTCTGAGCCTCAGTGTCTTCATCTGCATGATGGGAGGTGGTGATGATAATAGTTGACAGGACTGCTGTGGAGATCAAATACAAACCATCCAGGCTAGTGCTTGGTGTCACTGTCATTGACCCTCACAGCAGCCCCGTAGGATGGCTGTCGTGGCTTCCCCTCATGAGCATCTTTCCACAGTGCTCAGGCCACCAGGACACTGCATTCCACTCCAGCCCCCAAACCCTGGCCTCCACTCACCCCAAGGCTTCAGTGCTCCCCAGCTAACCCTAAAAACACACCGGCCAGTTTCTGAGTCCACTCCTCCCTCCAGCACCTGCTCTCTAGGTCCAGTGGTCCCTGCTAAGCTGCTGGGGCAGCTGTGTGCACCTGGGTGCCCCTGACCCAGCCTGTGTCCTGGGGCAGCTCTCAGTCCCATGCAGGTCATAAAGTCTCCCCTTGAGAAATCAGTCTCCAGGGACAGCCTCAGTGGACCTGTGGGAGCCCAGGGCTTCTAGCACTTGAGGATTTGTCACGAGGAAGAGGTGGTGGAAGTTCTCCTAGGGCCTCAGAGGGCAGAGCCAGGGCCAGTGGGGGTAATCATGAGAGGCAGTGTGTAGATCTTGGCTCCACACCCCTCAAGCTGTGGCTCTGTGGTTCCTCCATGGTCAGAACACCCCTTTTCCCTGCCCCAACTCATACCCCACCTCACCTTCCACAGCTCCACACCCTGAAGAGTGAAGCCTCTGGGCTTTTGCACACACTCCTCTGCCACCTACAACTCTGTCCAACACTCACTTATCCTTTCAATTGAATCTTGGTGTTTCCTATTCCAGGATGGCTTCCTAGCTTCTAACCCCTGCCTGGTGAGGTCCTCCTTCAGACTCACAGATTGCCTAGTGCTTGGCTCTAGGCTGTGCTTGCCACAGGGCTCTGGTTATGTTTCTGTGACTGTCCCCTCACTGGACTGAGCAGAGGCTGTGGGAACTGTGGCTTCCACATTACATGTCCCTGGTACGCATCCATAGGATGGAAGGATAGGTGGATAGAAGGATGGTGGATGGAGGGATGGATGTATTAATGGATTGGTGGATAGAAGGATTGGTAAGCAGAAGGATGGGTGAGGGATAGATGGCTGGCTGGAAGGATGGATGGATGGGTGGATGAATGGATAGTATTGGTAGGTAGGAGGATAGGTGGATAGATAGATGCCTGGAAGGATGGCTGGATGGATGCATGGATACATAGATGGATGGATATAATTGGTAAGTAAAATGGGTGGGTGGATAGACAGCCGGAAGGATAGACTGGATGGATGGATAAATGGATGGATGGGTGGATGGATAGATGCATGGATGGATGGATGACTGGAAGGATGGATAGATGCATGGATGGATGGATGGATGGATGGATGCATGCATGGATAGATGGATATAATTGGCTGGTAGAAGAATGGTTGGGTGGATAGAGGGACAACTGGAAGGATTTATGGATGAATGGATGGATGCATGGATCCATGGATGCATGGATGGATGAATATGATTGGTAATTAGAAAGATGGGTGGGTGGATAGATGGATAGCTGGAAGGATTTATGGACAAATGGATGCATGGATGGATGGATAGGATTGGTAGGTAGAAGAATGAGTGGGTGGATAGATGGACAACTGGAAGGATGAATGGATGGATAGATAGTAGGATGTGTAAGTAGAAGGTTGGGTGTATGGTTGGATGAATAGAAGGATGGGTGGATGGAAGGGTGGGTGGGTAGATGGATAGAAGAATGGATGGATGGATGGGATGGGTGTGTGGGTGAAAGGCTGGAAGAATGGATGGATGGATGAATGGATGGGTGGGTGGATGGATGGATAGTGGATGGCTGGATGGGTATGTAGAAGAATGGTTGGAGGGATAGATGGATGGTTAAAAGGATAGATAGATGAATGGATAGGATTGGTAGTTGGAATAATGGGTGGGTGGATAGATGGACAGCTGGAAGGATGGATGAATTAATGGATAAATGGATGGGTGGATGGATGTGTAGGTAGAAGGATGGTTGGATGGGTGGATAAATAGAAGGATGGGTGGATAAATAGAAGGATGGGTGGATAGAAGAATGGGTGGGTGGAAAAATAGAAGGATGGCTGGCTGGATGAATGGATAGAAGGATGGGTAGGTAAAAGGATGAATGGATAGATGGCTGGCTGAAAGAATGGATGGGTCGATGGATAGATGGATGGATGGATGTGTAGGTAGAAGAATGGGTGGATGGGCTGGGCATGGTGGCTCACACCTGCAATCCCAGCATATTGGGAGACCAAGGCAGGTGGATCACCTGAGGTCAGGAGTTCGGCCAACATGGTGAAACCTGGCCAACATGGTGAAACCCCACCTCTACTAAAAATACAAAAAAAAAAAAAAAATTCATTGGGCATGGTGGTGCATACCTGTAATCCCAACTACTTGGGAGGCTGAGGTAGGAGAATTGCTTGAACCCAGGAGGCAGAGCCAAGATTGCACTATTGCACATTGCATTCCAGCCTGGGAGACAAGGGCAAAATTCCATCTCAAAAAAAAAAGAAGGAGTGGATGGGTAGGATTGGTGAGTGGAAGGATGGGTGGGTAGATAGCTGGAAGGAAGGAAGGATGGATGGATGATGGATGGATGGATGGATGGATGGATAGAAGGATGTATAGATAGAAGGATGGGTGGCTGGGTAGATGAATATAAGGATGGGTGGGTGGAAGGATGGATGGGTGGGTGGATTGACAGAAGGATGGATGGATGAATGGATAGATGGGTAGGTAGAAGGATGAGTGAATGGATAGATGGATGGCTGGAAAAATTGGTGGATGGATGGGTGGATGGATGGATAAGATTGGTAGGTACAGGCCGGGCGCGGTGGCTCAAACCTGTAATCCCAGCGCTTTGGGAGGCCGAGGCGGGTGGATCACGAGGTCAACAGATCGAGACCATCTTGGTCAACATGGTGAAACCCCGTCTCTACTAAAAATTACAAAAACTTAGCTGGGCACGGTGGCACATGCCTGTAATCCCAGCTACTGAGGAGGCTGAGGCAGGAGAATTGCCTGAACCCAGGAGGCGGAGGTTGCGGTGAGCCGAGATTGCGCCATTGCACTCCAGCCTGGGTAACAAGAGTGAAACTCCGTCTCAAAAAAAAAAAAAAAAGATTGGTAGGTACAAGGATCAGTGGGTGGATATACGGATAGCTGGAAGGATGAATGAATGGACAGATGGATGGATGGATACATGGATGGATAGATGGATAGATGAATGGAAGGATGGATGGATGGATGGGTGGGTGGATGGAAGGCTTAATGGGTAGGAGGAGGGACAGATAAAAAGATGGGTATATGTATGTATGTATGGATGGATGGATAGGATGTGTAGAAGTATGGGTGGATAGAAGAATGAGTGGGTAGAAGGATGGGTGGGTGAATAGAATGGATGGATAGAAGGATAGGTGGGTGAATAGATGGATAGCTGGAAGGATGAATGGATTCATGATAGAAGAATAGATAAATAGAAGGATGAGTGAATGGCCAGATAGATGGATGGACAAAGGATGGGTGGGTAGAAGGATGGCTGAATAGGAGGATAAACTGATAGGATGGGTAGGTAGAAGAATGGGTGGATGGCTGTGTGGACAAAAGGATGGATGGATGGATGGATGGATGGATGGATGGATGGATTGATGGATGGATGCCTGGAAGGATGAGTGGATAGAAGGATGGGTGAGTAAAAGGGTAAGTAGATGGGTGAATGGGTGGCTAGAAGGATGAGTAGTGGAAGGATGGATGGGTGGCCGGCTGGAGGGAGGGACAGCTAGTGCTTCCCCTTAGAGGGATGCTGCCTCAGACCTCAGACACCACTAAACCTGGTGTCCCTTCCTAGTCTTGGCCCAGAAGGAGCCCCACACTCTGGGCCAAGCTCCTTGACACTCCAGGAGAGAGGGTAGCTTTGTGCTTCCAGCTGGGATCTGAGACCCACTTGCTCACCTGTGCTCGTGTAGTGGATCTTCCAGCCTGTGTGATCACCTGACTCATCTGTGACAAAGGTGATGGTCACGTTGTTGCTTTTTGTTTCAATCCTGCGGGGCAATGTCTTCCCACAGAATGGGCCTTGTTCCTCTCTGTCCGTTTGAATCTGAGAAAGAAGCTCATGAAAGCTGGGGAGCTGCTGCCCGGGGTCTCACCTTGGCCGAGGGAAGGGACCCAACTTCTCAGTTCAGGGACAGCCAATGAGGCCAACCCAGGTCACAGATCAGCGTGCCCCTTCCCGCTCTCCCTCCCACACTTGCATTCAGAAGGCCCCAGTCTTAGACCCCCATAGAGTGCCTGGAGAGGTGAGGGTTGCTGAGGTGGACAGGAACATGGTGGGGTTCGTGCTGTAGTAAGTAGGGGAGCAGCTGGGCTGAGGGGGCATCTGGGACAAGATGAGGGTCCCAGGAGCCAGACCTTGAGGAAGTCGTAAGGACACAGGATTTCCGGGTGCGTTTCCACATCAAAGAACTCCACAAAGTCCAGGATGATACTGAACCCCTCCTGCAGGCGGATGCTGTAAGTGCAACTGGAGAGTTTGGGGTAAGGCTGTGGGTATTCAGGGCTGCTGAGCTCCCCAGACGGCTGGGTGAAGACCTGGCCCCAGCACAGGGCTGGAAGGAGGGAAGGAGGGGAGTGACTTGGTGTGCCCTCCATCAGCCCTCGAACCAACAGCAGGGTGGGCTGCCTTGGGGAGCAGGACACAGGGCAGGGACGAGGCTGGGACATCGGCATCCCTGGGTTGAGCTGGGCCCTGCAGGTTGCCAGCCCCCAAGGCCTAGCCAAAAACCAAACGACCCACCTGATGGCTGAGGGACAGCTTAGAGAGGGGGTTTCTCTTGCTTTGAGGCTTTAACTGAAACAGGCAGCACTTGGGACAGGGTGTACGGGCCTCACGCACACCCCCAGAGAGCATGGGGCATCCTGGGCCAGAGCTGCAAGCCCAGGGTGGGGGCTGGAGCATGAGTTCTGCCGGGCTTTGCTGGGGCAGTGGGGGTCGGAGGTGGATGAGCACACAGGGAGGAGGAAGGGACACTCTCCTTGATCCCTGGGAATGCGGGAAAAGGGAAGAGTGTTTCCTTGAGCTGAGGGACCCCTTCAGTACTCCCCCAAATTCCCCCACAGCCACCCCATCGATTCCCAAGTTTATTCATCAGGGGTCTCCTACCCAAACCCAGCCAGGACCAGCCAGCCCCCTGGGTTCCTGGGGGAACCATCTGGAAGAAGGGCCTCTCGTCACTCCCCTCCCCCAGTTCTGGCACCTGCCCTGGAGGTAACTCCTGGAAGTTCAAGGCTACAGTGATCCTGACTGAGTCTGGTACTCTCTTTCCTCCTGGGAGAGCTGATGCTGCAGCCACAGGTGGGGCCTTGGGCTGCGCTCCATCCCTCAAGGAAGGCTCTGTCCCCATCCCAAACCACCACCCCACCCCTAGCTGCAGTGGGGGGCATTTGAGCTGTGAGGCCCCTCACAGCTGGTGGCTGTTGCACTCCAGCCTGGGTGACAGGCCCCATTTGAGCTGTGAGGAGCCCCAACGTTGCCTGCCTTTTTCCCTGTGGCCGTGCCCTTTGGGGCAGTGGGAATCATCTCCGGATTTGGGGGGTCCAGATTGCCCCCTTCAATGAATACCTCCCAGGGTGTCTCCTCTCTGGGTCAGACTCCTCCAGGCCATACCCTGAATGGGGTTGGTTCAAGATTACTCCAGGGTCAGCCTCTGGCGACCAGACCCTGCCCATCTCTGGGCCTCAGGGCCCCATCTTCAAAAAGCGGGGTTGGGGGGGAGCTAATAGCAAGACCTTCTGGCCAAGGAGCCAGGGCCCCATGGAGGGGGCGTCCACAGACCTGGGGTTCCTCAGGCTGGGAGGAGGGTAGGCAGAGAGGCGTGCACCCCGCCCCCTCCCCGCCCTCCCACTCCAGAGACACGCGGCAGCAGGTGGGGCGGAGCCAGGTTTATTATTGGGTCCGTGGCAGGTGAATGGGAGTTGGGGCGCAGCCAACTCAGCCCGGCCCGCTGAGGCCAGCTGAGGCCAGCAGGCTGGCTCTGGCTTCTGACCTGCTGGGCAGGCCGGCGCTCCAGGGGAAGCTAGAGGATCTGCTCTGGAAGAGACATCAAGAGACAAGGAGAGACACTGAGAGGGAGACACCGAGTGGGGGGGGCAGCGTCAGTGCCAGCGGGGGTGCTGCCCACACCCCAGAGCACTGGCCAGTCCCGTGGTGCAAGGGTGCAGTCCTGAGGAACCAGGCCAAGGTCCCCCGACTCTCCCACCTCAGGAGCTGCTACAGCTGCCCCAGGCGGGGAGTGGCTGCAGGAGGTGTTCCCAGAGCCCAGGTGGGGCCTGGTACACGGCCGGGTGTTGGAGTTCCCCCCGGTTGCTGGGGAGAGTGGCACTGGGAATGGGCCTGGCTGGTGGGAGGACAGGCAGGGCTGAGAAGGGAAGCTGGGGGGGAGGGTGCCTAGAAACACCCAGTGTCTGGGGCCCAGTCCCTCCACAGCCCTGGGCGGAGCAACAATGGCCCTGAGGAGCTGCGTGTGTCCAGGGGAGGGTGCATTGGGCCCGGTGCCTCCCTCACCTGAGCAGGTGCGCTTGTTCTGGTGCAGGACGTAGCCTGCGCGGCAGGAGCAGTAGAAACCGCCCAGGTGGTTGTGGCAGTGGTGGTCGCAGGCGGGCGCCTCTCCCGGAGCCACCTGGCACTCGTCGATGTCTGGAGGAGAGGCAGGGCCCGGCAGAGGCGTCAGGAGGGAAGGAGGCGGGATCCAGCCTGGCCTCCTCCCAGCAGACCCGTGACCTCAGAGAGGACCTCAGAGGGAGGGAGGCCTCTTCCTGTCTGGGGTGGGGACCGGCGTCAGGCCAAGCACCTTACGGGCCCAGGTTGCTGCGGGCTCCCCAGAGCGCAGGGAGGAAGATGCAAACAGCACCTGCTTGTTGTTTTTGTTTTGTTTTTTGTGTTTTGAGACAAAGCCTCACTCTGTCACCCAGGCTGGAGTGCAACGGCACGATCCTGCCTCAGCCTCCCAAATAGCTGGGATTACGGGTGCACGCCACCATGCCCTGCTAATTTTTTCAGTAGAGACGGGGTTTCACCATCTTGGCCAGGCTGGTCTCAAACTCCTGACCTTGTTATCCACCTGCCTCGGCCTCCTAAAGTGCTGGGATTACAGGCTCACGTGAGCCACCACACCCAGCCAACAACACCTCTGTTAAATCAGCAGGAAGTTCAGTGTCCAGCCAAGGCCACGAAGCTAGTAAGGGGAGGCAGTGAAACTCAGGGGCCCGGGCTACCGCACTGAACCTTGCAGCAGCTCCCTAAGGAGCAGAGAAGTTGTGCCACTTGCCCGAGGTCACACAGCTGGTCTCTGCAGGGACTGGGATCTGAACTCCGGCATCCCGGCAGCACTCCCGCAGGAAGAGACCCATTTTCTCAGCTTTAAATGGGGCGCTCAGCCCCTGCAATGTTTTGTTTTTTTGAGACAGAGTCTTAGATTCTCGCCCAGGCTGGAATGCAGTGGTGCAATCTTAGCTCACTGCAGCCTCTGCCTCCTGAGTTCAAGCGATTCTCCTGCCCTAGCTTCCTGAGCAGCTGTAACTACAGGTGCATGCCACCACACCAGCTAATTTTTGTATTCTTAGTGAAGGCAGAGTTTTGCCATGTTGCCCAGGCTGGTCTTGATCTCCTGTCCTCAAGTGATCAGCCTGCCTTGACCTCCCAAAGTGCTGGGATGACAGGCGTAAGCCACTGCACCCAGCCAGCCCCTTCACCACTTGAGGCAATGCTATCCTTAAGACCTTGGCTCGGAGCTGGGGCTCAGCCCATATGTCTGGAAGTCACAGCTCCATTGGTTGGTCTGTGCATTGCAGATGATGGCAGCCCCGCCCAGGGGGAGGTGGGGGGGACTGAAGGCAAGGCTACCTGGCTTAAGACAGTGTTACCCCCATAGCCAGCTGCGCAGGCTGAGATGCTGCAGGCTTCCTCTTGGCTCACCCTCGGCCGCGTAGAAGGCCTCGAACCCCGTGAACGGCTTCTCGTTGGAGTAGTCAGAGCGGAAAGTGACATCCAGGCTGGGGCCCGTTGAGTAGAACGTGTCATTGCCGGGAGCCCGCTCCGTGTCTGTGCTCTCTCGCCCGCACAGCGTGGCCAGCACCTTGGCCCCTGAGCTCAGCTGTGGGGTCAGGGGTCACAGGGAGGGAAGGCAAGACCCAGGCCTGATCTCCCGCCTGGCCAAGGCTGGCCCCTGCTCCCTGGTGTCCCCGAACTCTGGCTACTCCTTGGGGACCCCCTGACCCTGAGAGACCCCAGCCCTCCCACCCTGACGGCACCTTGACGAAGTCGTACTCGCAGAGGTGGGAGAGCTCCAGGTCGAAGTGGGTGAAGTAGAGGCGCAGGCGGTAGCCAGGGGGTGCGGTCAGGGTCCAGTGCCGCTCCTGGTCATTGGCGTACTCCCCTGGAAAGCCGGGGGACACCAGGCGCCCAAACACAGGCTCAGGCCACTTCGGGCCCGAGGGGGTGGCCATTGAGCCATACAGCAGGTCCAGGAGGGTCAGCAGCCTGCGGGCAGGGCAGGGGGGTGAGGGCCCAGGCCTGTGCTCCCACCCCGCACCCTGCAGGGAGGCCGTGGGTGGTCACCTACCTCATGGTGTGCTCGTCTACCTGGCCTGGCCTGGTCTGCGGCCCCACACTGGTCTCACCTTTGATCTGTTTGTCCAGTGATCTGCCCCTGCCCCCAGGCTCCCTGACTCTGGGATTCTGGGAATCGACCCCATGACTCCAGCCTGCCCAGAATTCCAGGCAGGGAGGACAGGCTGCTCTGGGAGCCAGGAGTTGGACCTGGGTGACAGCGGCCTGGAAAGAAATCCTGGCTCTGCCCCTCACCCCTCACCTTTTTTTTTTTCTTTTTTGGATCTTGCTCTGTTGCCAGGCTTTAGTACAGTGCTGCAACCGTAGCTCACGGCAGCCTCTACTTCCTGGGCTCAAGCAATGCAATCCTCCCGCCTCAGCCTCCCAAGTAGCTGGGACCACAGGTATGCACCAGCACACCCAGCTAATTTTACTCCCTCCAAGAATGTCTCTAAGTTTCTGCTGGGGTTAGGGGATGGAGAATAGGGATTGGCTAGGTTTTGTTATTGTTGTTGTTATTCTCTTTTATAGACAAGGTCCCATTGTGTCACCCAGGCTGGAGTGCAGTGCTGTGATATAGCTCACGGCAGTTTCAACCTCCTTGCTTCTAACGGCCCTCCTACCATCAGCCTCCCAGGTAGCTGGGACTACAGGCACATGTCACCATGTCCTGCTAATTTTTTATCTTATTTTATTTTATTTTAATTAATTTTTTTTTTTTTTTTGAGAAAGAGTTTTGCTGTTGTTACCCAGGCTGGAGTGCAATGGCACGATCTCGGCTCACCGCAACCTCCGCCTCCTGGGTTCAAGCAATTCTCCTGCCTCAGCCTCCCGAGTAGCTGGGACTACAGGTGCGCACCACCATGCCCAGTTAATTTTTTTAATTTTTAGTAGAGACGGGGTTTCACCTTGTTGACCAGGATGGTCTCAATCTCTTGACCTCGCAATCCACCCGCCTCGGCCTCCCAAAGTGCTGGGATTACAGGCGTGAGCCACCGCGCCCAGCCTCTTATTTTATTTTTTATGAGATGGAGTCTCACTCTGTTACCCAGGCTGGAGTGCACTGGTGCAATCTCAGCTCACTGCAACCTCCACCTCCTGGGTACAAGTGATTCTCCTGCCTCAGCCTCCTGAGTAACTGGGGCTACAGGCATGTGCCACCATGCCTGGCTAAGTTTTATATTTTCAGTAGACATGAGGTTTCACCATGTTGGCCAGGCTGGTCTTGAACTCCTGACCTCAAGTGATCTGCGCACCTTGGCCTCCCAAAATGCTGGGATTACAGGCCTGAGCCACCACGCCCAGCTTTTATGTTTCTATGTTTTGCAGTCTTGTTGTTGAAATGGGAGGTCTTGCTGTTGCCCAGGCTGCCTAATTTCTTTAACACTGCCAGAAGGACCTGGTGTCACCAATTCCTGATTCTACTGCAGGCTTAGAAGTTGCTTTCCATACAGTTATTTCCACACCTGTTGATCTGTTCTTCCAGCTTCTAGAGCTTTGAGGCTGCTCCTTCCTCTTTCACACACTCTATCCTCATGGATTTGTGTGTTTTCTTTTTTAAATTCCCTTTATTTTTGTTTTCATTTTTTGTAGAGATGGGGGTCTCCCTGTATTGCCCAGGCTGGTCTCGAACTCCTGAGCTGAAGTAATCCACCTGCCTCAGCCTCCCAAAGTACTGGGATTACAGGTGTGAGCCACCATTCCTGGCCTCGTTATTATTACCATTATTATTTTCTTTTAGAGACTGGGAGGGGATCACTTGAGACCAAGAGTTCAAGACCAGCTTGGGCAACATAGCAAGATCTTGTCTCTGCAAAAAAAAATTTTTTATAGGCCAGATGCCATGGTTTACGCCTATAATCCCAGCACTTTGAGGCCGAGGCGGATGGATCATGAGGTCAGGAGTTCGAGACCAGCCTGACCAACATGGTAACACTCCATCTCTACTAAAAATACAAAAAATTTAGCCATGCATGGTGGCATGCGCCTGTAATCCCAGCTACTCAGGAGGCTGTGGCAGGAGAATCAATTGAACCTGGAAGGCAGAGGTTGCAGTGAGCTGAGATTGTGCCATTGCACTCCAGCCCGGATGACAGAGTGAGATTCTGTCTCAAAAAAAAAAAAAAAAAGTTTTTTTTGTAAATATTAGCCAGGCATGGGGGCAGGCACCTGTAGTTCCAGCTACTCGGCAGGCTGAGGTGGGAGGATCGCTTGAGCCCAGAGGTCTAAGGTTGCAGTGAGCCATGTTCATGCTATTGCACTCCAGCCTGGGTGACAGAGTAAGATTCCGTCTCAAAAAATATACACATAGTAATAATAATGCAAGAAAATTTCCCAGAACTGAAGAAATGTGGTACTGAATGAAAGTGAGCCCCAAGCGCCCAGAAAAGATTTATAATATATATATATATATATATTTGAGACGGAGTCTTGCTCTGTCTCCCAGGCTGGAGTGCAGTGGTGCAATCTTGGATCACTGCAACCTACACCTCCCAGGTTCAAGTGATTCTCCTGCCTCAGCCTCCCAAGTAGCTGGGATTATAGGCTCATGCCACCACACCCAGTTAATTTTTGTATTTTTATTTATTATTTGTTTAGTTAGTTATTTTTGAGACAGAGGCTCACTCTGTCTCCCAGTTGGGAGTGCAGTGGCACAATCTCAGCTCACTGAAACCTCTGCCTCCCAGGTTCTTGAACTCCTGACCTCAGGTGATCCACCCACCTTGGCCTCCCAAAGTGCTAGGATTACAGGTGTACGCCGCGCCCAGCTGCCTCCCAGGTTCAAGCTATCCGCCTACCTCACCTCCTGAGTAGCTGGGACTACAGGCATGTTCCCCCACGCCCGGCTAATTTTTTGTATTTTAGTAGAGACAGGGTTTCACCATATTGACCAGGCTGGTCACCAACTTCTGACCTCATGATCCACCTGCCTTGACCTCCCAAAGTGCTGGGATTATGGGTGTGAGCCACCTCATGTGGCCTAATTTTTGTTTTTTATTTTGTTTTGTGTTGTTTTTTTTTGAGACAGAGTCCCACTCTGTCGCCAGGCGCCAGGCTGGAGTGCAGTGGCACAATCTCGGCTCACTGCAACCTCCGCCTCCTGGTTTCAAGCAATTCTCCTGCCTCAGCCTCCTGAGTAGCTGGGACTACAGGCGCACGCCACCACACCCAGCTAATTTTTGTATTTTTAGTAGAGATGGGGTTTCACCATGTTGGCCAGGATGGTCTTGATCTCTTGACCTCATGATCCGCCTGCCTCGGCCTCCCAAAGTGCTGGGATTACAGGCTTGAGCCACCACACCCGGCCAATTTTTGTATTTTTAGTAGAGGTTTCACTATGTTCGCCAGGCTGGTCTTAACTCCTGACCTGGTGATCTGCCTGCCTCCGCCTCCCAAAGTGCTGGGATTGCAGGAGTGAGCCGCTACATCCGGCTGAGAGTAGTTTCAGGAAGGGACTACTGTTCTTGTTTCAAGTTAAACTCTAAATTCCTTCCCCAGTCAGCTTGGCCTGTGCCCAGGAATGAGCAGGGGCAGCTTGGAGGTCAGGAGCAGGATGGGGTCAGTTATGTCGGATTTGTCTTACTGTCATAATTTTGCAAGGGTGGTTTCAATAGGAAGACATAGGGTCCCTCTTGGACGGTGTTCACTAGGGGACTCCATTGGGGGCAGGGACAAGGCTCTGGACGGCTTCTCCAGAAAGGGGACAGTCACGGAAAACCTGTTGAGTTCAAGGAGCATTAGAGAACTGGTGAAAATTTTGGGGCTAAATTTGTGATAAATTTATTGAAAACTAAGTAAATGAGAAACAAACAGAAAATTCCAGGGAAAACAAGAAACTCCATAGGAGATAAAACGTTATTATAAGGCTGGTGCGGTGGCTCATGCCTGTAATCTCAGCACTTTAGGAGGCCGAGGCGGGTAGATCACTTGAGGTCAGGAGTTCGAGACCAGCCTGGCCAACATGGTGAAACTCCGATTCTACTAAAAATACAAAAATTAGCTGGGCATGGGGGCACATGCCTGTAATCTCAGCTACTCAGCTATTTGGGAGGCTGAGGCAGGAGAATCACTTAAACCTGGGAGGCAGAGGTTGCAGTTGAGCAAAGATCATGCCACTGTACTCCAGCCTGGGTAACAGAGTGAGACTCTGTCCTTTAAAAAAAAAAAAAAAAAAAAATATATATATATATATATATATATATATATATATATATATGTGCCGGGTGTGGTGGCTCACACCTGTAATCCCAGCACTTTGGGAGGCTGAGGTGGGCGGATCACCTGAGGTCAAGAGTTTAAGACCAGCCTGGCCAACATGGTGAAACCCTGTCACTATTAAAATATAAAAATTAGCCAGGCGTGGTGGCAGGTGCCTGTAATCCCAGCTATTCAGGAGGCTGAGGCAGAAGAATCACTTGAACCTGGGAGGCGGAGGTTGCAGTGATCTGAGATCTCCTGGGCAACAAAGTAAGACTTTGTTTAAAAAAAAAATGTTATCATAGGCTAATTTTTGTATTTTTGGTAGAGACGGGGTTTCCCCATGTTGGCCAGGAATGTCTCGATCTCTTGACCTCGTGATCTGCCTGCCTCGGCCTCCCAAAGTGCTGGGATTACAGGTGTGAGCCACGACACCTGACTCCTTTTATTTTCTTTAACTTTTCCTTTTTTTTGAGACAGCGTCCTCTGTCGCACAGGCTGGAGTGCAGTGGCGTGATCTTAGCTCACTACAACTGTAACCGCCCAAATGTTCATCTTGCCCGCTGCCTAGACAGAGCTGATTCATCAAGACAGGGGAATTGCAATAAAGAGTAATTTGGGCACAGCCAGCTGTGCAGGAGACCGCAGTTTTACTATTGCTCAAATAAGTCTCCCTGAGCATTCGGGGAGCAGAGTTTTTAAGGATAACCTGGTGGGTGGGGGGAAGCCCCTGAGCCAGGAGTGCTGATTGGTCAGGGCTGAAATCACAGGGAGTTACAGCTGTCTTCTTGCGCTGAGTCCCTTCCTGGATGGGGACCACAAGATCAGATGAGCCAGTTTATTGATCTGGGTGGTGCCAGCTGATCCATCAAGTGCAGAGTCTGCAAAATATCTCAAGCCCTGATCTCAGGAGCAGTTTACGGAGAGTCAGAATCTTGTGTCCTCCTG